CACAACCCCCCCCCCCCACCAGTAAAACTCATCAGACTTCTAATGCAGCGGTGCCTGGAAGAGAGAGGGAAGTCCTCCCAGGTCTCCCCTGTGCTCTGTCATATGACAGTGATCACTTCTGAAGAGGGGCAGCACGACAGGATCACCATCAACCTGTCACACGGCCATGATCAACTAGTAGATTGTGGCACGCCCTGTAGCCGACCCCCGCCTTAGGATGTGCAGTAAACATACATAACACAGATCTAATTAAACTTATCTTCTCATTTTTTCGTGGGGACGGGTTAGAACTTCTGTCAGTTTATTATTCATTAGCTGTCTGTGTGCCATCCTGGACATTTCCCTTCACTTCCTGCTCCGGAGATGTAACAGGAAGTGAGGGAAAATCTTCTCTTAGAGAGTTGTCACTGAAACAGGTGTCCCCATTAGAATTTCCCCTCACCTGTTCTGGTGACAACTATGGAAATGTTTTGTTTTTTTTTTAGTTGTGGATATAGACGGGAAGAGAAGAACCTCTGAACACTGAGGGTAAGAAGTGTAAGTCGTGGTGACACAGGCCGCCAGCAGTTAATCCCAACTGATATGACCGTTTCAGCTGGAAGTTCCCTTGTTGTGTAACGCGCTGCATTCCAATTCTGAGGAGTTGCATAATGTCTTCCCGTTAAGTTGTGAATTATAACTGACTCAAAATCTGCCGGGACTGCGCAATGAGCATACGCCCCAAATAAACACCGCAAATGAAACAACGCAGATCGTGTTTTGCTGGTGTAATTAGTGTCAGGCGGGCGAGACAACGAGGCGATCCCGGATATTAAATATGGCAGAATGATGATTATGTAATTACAGTGACGAGTTGCATAAGTATTCCCTCCCTGCAGAGCCGCCTTTCTCAACCAGGGAACAAGGGAGCCCCAGGCTTCCTGCTGAGATTGTTTCCTGGAGCAGTGAGCAACTTCTGCCTCTCGGATATGTAACCACTGACACCAGTGTAAGGAGCATTCTTCCCACTGACCACCAATATAAGGAGCATTCTTCCCACTGACCACCAATGTAAGGAGCATTCTTCCCACTGACCACCAATGTAAGGAGCATTCTTCCCACTGACCACCAATGTAAGGGGCATTCTTCCCACTGACCACCAATGTAAGGAACATTCTTCCCGCTGACCACCAATGTAAAGGAACATTACAATTTCATAGTTGCTCTTTCTTTTATGAGCGGATTATAGCCTGTCCCTTCCCAGCATGCTGCAGAGAACCCTTGATTGCTATGAGGAAGCAGCGGCCTCTCTGCATAGGTCTAACCCGCCCCCTGCTGGGTCTGAACTTCAGCTCTCCAATCAGCGGGCAACATGAGCTTTGCTGATCATAGTGCTATTGGTCTGATTCAACAGGAGGCGTGTCCAGCCGATGATGAGAGCTAAAATTCTTACAAGGTATGTTTTTCAACCACATGGATCTGGACTGTCACTTTATGATGCTGTCACGCTCACCCAGTAGCCTTATGGCTGGTTGGTTACTACAACTCCCAGCATTCCCTACGCTAAACGAGGCAGCGCCTGACGTCACATTCAGCTTCCCCTAGCCATGTAGCGTGGGGAGCACGGCGTGTGACGTCAGACACATAAACATCGACAAGCTGAGGGGGTGAAGCGTGTGACGTCTTTCGTCGCGTAGATGACGGGTGGGCGCTGGGCAGCTTCCAGTTGTTATGGTGACGGGCTTCGGCCTGTACTAAGCGTCAAAGCCTCGGGATGCCGCAGGAGATTTCCCCGCCGCATTTCTCTGTGCCTCAGCTCCGCTCTCTCAGCAGTTGGCACCTCGTCCAGGTCTTGTTCTGTAACCGGACTCCCCGAACCGTGCAACCCATCTGGGTGAACTTCAAGGGGGAACCGCAGCCCTACCCGACCCTGCCGCCCTGGACAGAAATGAGGATGAACACCTACCTGGGTATGAGGTGGTGGTGGAAAGTGGGGAGAGCTTTGGGAATGTTCCACGGGGGGAGGGTAATGGACTTGTACCCCTGGGGTGCAGGTCTTGACCCCCAGGAAGGAGAAAGGGGGGGTCTAACTTTGTACTCCTGGGCAATTGGGGGTGTAGTCTGGCCTTGTACCCCTGGGGTAATGGGGAAGGCGTGTTGTCTGGCCTTGTACCAATGAGGAATACTGGAATTTGAGTTGTAACCATAACAGGAAGTGAAGGCAAATCTTCCAGTTGTCTAAGAGCGGCATTCCCATGACTTGAGATTTCCTCACAATTCCTGTTGTGTTTTTGGGATAGGAAGTTAGGAGAATTCTCCCACAATGGGATCTGGACAGCAGAAATAAACCACTAAGGGGAGTCAATGTCAGACTTGGCGGAGGTGTTGGGTGTCCTCCTGCATGGAGTACATGTATGTATGTATGTATGTATGTATGTACCCGCCCTTAGTATACACAGCAATCATCACACATCACTCTTCCGGTCGGTGACTCCTTTGTTTTCCTCCTCCATTTTGCAGATCATATTTGGTTGTTCCGGGAACTTGACACCGATGTGCCATTGTTGGTGAACAAGAAGGAAATCTACGTACCTTCCCCATATGTCAATGAGCAACCAGCGGCCGTGAACATCTGCCTGCCAGGTAAGTTGATTTCTGGTTTCCCATCAGTGACTGAACGTACGTCATGGTACATTCTACACGCAACACACCATGTGATCTTAGTCCAAGACTGACAAAGCGCAGCAGGACCCTTGCTTTCTGTGTGGAAGCAGCAGTCTCTCTGCAGAGATCTGACACACACCTTGCTCTAGAGTCAAAATGAGAGATTTCCAATCGGCAAAGTTAATTCTCCTGCTGATTGCAGAGCTCTGTTTAGCTGGTTTTAAATAATCCACTCCGGGCAGTAGAAAAAAAAAATGGGGGGGCAGGGGTAAGCAAACTCTGGCCCTCCAGCTGGTGACACTACAAATCCCATTAAACATTGCAGGACTCTGACAGGCGCAGGCATGACTCCCGGAGGCAGATGGAATTTAGTTTCAGCACAGCTGTAGGGCCGGAGTTTGCCGGGGGGATAGGACTAAGCAGGCTTCCTTCACACTCCACCGGTCCGCGGAAGCTGCTCCCCCTTCGCTGCTCATCCAATCACACACATATATTTCTAACTTGCACCCTGCAGTGTGTGGCAATATAACGCAAGGAATGTATGTGTGGCATGAATGAGCTCTGACAGATTTGCTGATTTGTTTTCCCAGTGTCTTCTGCCCGGCATTGTGCTGCATTTTGAAGTAAACTCAGAATGAACAAGCTGCATGCAATCTAATTATCAGCTTCATTCTGCCCTGAGTGTGATTGGTTACCTCCCATATAATGCAGTGTCATGCACAGCCTCCATCATGGTTTTTCAATGCGTCATATCCAGCAGCACGGCTCCATGGCCGGTGATTGACAGGTGCAGAGAGCTCTGCAAACCTTCTTCCGTTGAGCACATGTGAGCAAAACGCACATCTCTCCCTGTAATGTCATCATAGAGCAGTCTCTGGTCATGTGGTGTCTGTACTCACCGTACGTTATCTCTTCCCTGCAGTGTTTACACTGAAAGACCGCTGCCTGCAGGTCGTTCGAAGTCTAGTGAGACCAGAAGACTCCCGGAAGCTGGAGATCGTGGAGTCTCTGTACGAGGACTTGGAAAACCGACCAAATGTCCTGAAGGACTTACGGCGACTCGCGGTCAGCCTCTGGGAGCAGACTCGGCCAGAGAACTCGTGATTCCGCTCACAGAATGGGGGTGCAATGAAGGCACAGCGCCCCAGAACCTCAGGAGATGGGTGGACTTTGTGGTGCTGATACCAAATAGCTGAAAGGGGCCGCTCCCCCTCGCACGTTTGTGTTTTTTATTCCAATGGACTTCTGGCTGGTCTGCGATATTGCGGATCCTTTGCCTTTTGGGTGTAATGTGTGAGCTCCATTCCATGCGGTCATACTGAGCCCAGGCCAATGTGATGATGCCTCCCCCAAGGGGTGTGTCCATGACAGCCTGTGCTCTGAGAAAGCGGGACTTCATCACTGGCTGTCATTCAGCCTGGAAGACTGGAGCCATCTAGTGGCGGAGAGGAGTCTCTGCAGGTGACAGATATTTTTTTTTTTTTTTAAATTTTTTACTTTTAATACTGCCGAGCATTGTTTATATACTAAAATGTTCTACTTTTAATCAGGTGATGAGAAGAAAAATAAATAAATATTTTTATATTTGAAATTTCATTGTAAACATAACGGGTGGGGGGGGTTATTAAAACTGGAGCAGAAAGAAGCTGATTGGCTGCCATGCACAGCTTCTGCCTGCTCCACTCTTAGTAAGTCCCCCTCAATGTTCTTTTTGTTTTATATTTTATGATCAAGTTTATGAAGTTCTACTGTTTGTGTTCTATATTAGAAATTATATTTAACGGTAATGTGCAATTTTGTCCAGACTATGGACATTAAAGTGTATGTATGTATGTATGTATGTATGTATGTATGTATGTATGTATTTTATCAGACTGAGTACTGATATTTTTCCTCCAGTAATCGCTGATACCTTTTTTTTTTTTTGTCATGTCACATTTTTTCTAAAACAATACAGACTTATGATTTTAGGACAGTGGTGGAGAGTCTGGGCCCGGTCCCTGAAGAACCAGACCCTGGTAATTCTGCCACTGACTCCAAGATGTAGAGGGCCTGCAAATCCCAGCAATACATGATACAGCGATGCAGAATACCTCCAGCTAGAGAGGACTACAAATCCCAGCAATACATGATACAGCGATGCAGAATACCTCCAGCTAGAGAGGACTACAAATCCCAGCAATACATTATACAGCGATGCAGAATACCTCCAGCTAGAGAGGAGGGTCTGAACAGGGGAGAGGCGCGGGTGGCAAAGCGCCAGCATCAGTTTGTAGTATTGGGGCATTTTCATTTTGTGAACATGTCTAGTATCGGCACCGATATTGGTGCGTCCCTAAAATATACACTGTGGTCGGGAATTTATCAAAACTGGAGCAGGCAGAATCTGGAGCAGTGGCCCAATCAGCTTCTCTCTTCAGTTTGCTCGGGTAAGATTTGAAAATGAAAGAGAGAAGCTGATTGGTTGCCGTGCAAATCTACTCCAGATTTTGTCTGTTCCAGTTTTGATAAATCCTCCCGTGTGTGTGTGTATTTTATTTAATTTTATACATCATTGCTTATATTTCAGTTTCAGATGTGTAACATTTATACATGCAAATAAAACTCTCACTGCCCCATCCCCCACTCCCAAACCTCCCCCATTTCTATCCATCAAATCAGAACATTCACCATGAGCCGGTTCCCTTCCATACGCTGCATATTGTGTTCATAGTAGACAAAAGCAATAATAATATATTCTGTATACAGATAAATAATGACCCCGTCCATCCATCACTAGTCCGGCGCATGTTTTTATCGTCTCCATCGCTTCTCTCCGTCCCCGGACCTCTCACAATATACATTTTATAATTCGCTGTCACTGGAATAAAACGTCTTTGGTATAATCCCCTGCGTGTCGGGTTGTGTGTTTCGTGTAACCGATCGCTGTCAGGTGACTTCATTTACCGTAGAGAACTGTAGATCAGGGGTGGGTAGCTCCGGCCCTCCAGCTGTGGTGGAACTACAAGTCCCATGAGGCATTGCAAGACTGACAGTTACAGGTATGACTCCCAGCGGCATTATGGGATTTGTAGTTAGAGCACAGCTGGAGAGCCGGAGTTGCCCACGGGTGCTGTAGAGGATTCACCGTGGAGGCGCCCGGCCTCGTGTCTCATAGTCACTCCCAGAACTTCCTAAATTTGTTCAGGCGACCCCCGATGTAATTTTTTTTTTCCCTTTTGAAGGGCAACATGAACAGATTATTCCCATACATTAAAAGTAGGAGGAGTGGAAGATCTCAATTTTGGGGCTTTGAAGGGGAAAGTTTATTTTTCTAAGAATGTTTCATTTTACATGGTTTAGGTTTATATTTAGGCTATAACATGGTTACATCATCTAGCTCTTTCCTCCCAAGCCTGACTATCCTGCCCCCAGACCTTGTATTCATTGCATTCCATACAAATGTTGTCTCCAAATGCATTCTGCCTAGGAACACCCACTCCTATCCAGTAAATTATTTTGATATTTGCATAACTCCTCCCAAGATCCAGCCCACTGCGTGCATAGGTGCTCCTTGCTAGCTTTTTAATAGATACAAAACTGAGTGCAATATAACTTCTATTATCTGTCCTTCGTTTTATTTTGTGTTTGCCATGCCAGATTGCTGCCAACACGATAAAAATTGATTGCAGCAACATTAGTTCTGGGGTGTCACTTTAAGAAATTGCGACGCCATCCCTCTGGCTGGGTGTTCTACTACAACCCCCAGCATTCCTTACGCTAGGAGAGTCAGCGTGTGACGTCAGACGCATGCGCTTCGAAGGTAGAGCGTGTGAAGTCGTTCGCTAAATACGTGACTTGAGCGAACTCCGCCGTGCAGCTTCCGGTTGCTATGGTGACACGCTTTGGCCTGCTCTGAGCTCCAAAGCCTCGGGATGCCGCAGGAGATTTCCCCGCCGCCTTCCTCTGTCCCTCAGCTCCGCTCCTTCAACAGTCGTCAGCTCACTCCGGTCGTGTTTTGTAACCGGAGCCCCCGAGTCGTGCAGCCCATCTGGGTGAACTTTCAGGGAGAGCCGCAGCCCTACCCGGTCCTTCCGCCCGGGACAGGACGGAGGATCAACACCTACCTGGGTAAGAGGGGCTGGAGAATCTGGCTTTGTACCCCTTGGAGGGAGCCAGGCCTTGTATTCCTGGGGGAATGAAGTGGAGGACTGGGCTTGTACTCCTGGGTGGAGAGAAAGTGGGAGTCTGGTCTTCTATCCCCTGGTTGGAGAAGAGGACTCTGGCCTTTAACCCCTCAGGGCGAGAAGAAGGGTGAGCCTGGCCTATTACCCCAGGGGGAGAAAGGGGGAAGGCTAGCCTTGTACCCTGGGGGGAGAGAAGGGAGGGACTGGCCTTGTAACAAAAATATACTGGCTGACTGATTTTCGTAGTGCAGGGAGTCACCTCCAGAGTTAGCTCAGGTGTTCGATGTTCTTCTGCATGGAGTACCTGTATGTATGTATGTATGTATGTATGTATGTATGTATGTATGTATGTATGTACCCGTCCTTAGTATACACAGCGATATCACTCTTCAGGTCGGTGACTCCTTTTGTTTTCTTCCTCCGTCCTGTAGGCCATATTTGGTTGTTCCGTGAAGTTGACACCGATGTGCCACTGTTGGTAAGCAAGAAGGAAATCTACGTACCTTCCCCGAATGTCAATGGACAACCGGCGATTGTGAACATCTGCCTGCCAGGTAAATGGATTGGCACGAATGCAGATTTCTTCCCATAATGCCTCAGAACGGTTATGTGGTGTCTCTGTACTCACCGTGCTTTATTTCTCCTGCAGTGTTTACGCTGAAAGACCGCAGCCTGCAGGTCGTCCGAAGTCTGGTGAGACCAGAAGACTTCCGGAAGCTGGAGATCGTGGCGTCTCTGTACGAGGACTTGGAAAACCGACCCAATGTTGCAAAGGACTTACAGCGACTGGCGGTCAGCTTCTGGGAGCAGACTCGGCCAGAAAACTCGTGATCCGTCTCACAGAATGGGGGAGCAATGGCGGCACAGCGCCCCTGAACCTGTGGAGATGGTTGGACTTTGTGGTGTCGATGTCCCCGCTGTTGAGTTGGATTTCGGGATTGGTTGCTGCCTTCTGAAAGTTAGCGGTTCTGACCCGACGGGGGGCATTGGCTGGTCTGGCACTGGCATTTAAAAACTTGGCACATTCCTGCCCTTCCAGAGTTCGTCTGTATGATCTGCTTGCCAGCAGCCAATGGCAGCTCTGGATCCTCAACTAGAGGCAAATAGCTGGAGTGGATATATTTAAAGCAGAATTGCAGTACCATACCCCTTGATGGCCAAACAAATCAAACCTCAATGATCCTTTGTCTTCTTCAGCAGCAGAGGGGAGCTCTTGCACTGAACAGGGCTCCTGCGTGAGCTCCATTCAATGCAGCAATAATCTGAACCTAGGCCAACATGACGACGACGACGCCTGCCCAAGGGGTGTGTCCATGACAGCCTATGCTCAGAGGAATCGTGCTTTCATCACTGGCCTAGAAGACTGGAGCCATCTAGTGGCAGGGAGGAGTCTCTGCGGGAGACAAATGCAAAGCTGCTCCTTTTCTTATTTGTATTAATTTTGGGCATTCTTCATTTACTTAATCTGGAGTTCTGCTTTAAATTATTATGGGAAGAAAACATGGGGTTTCATCTTAAACATAATGGGAGCGGACAGAATCTGGAGCGGTTGCCCATGACAACCAATCAGCTTCTCTCTTTCATTTTCAAAGCTTAACTGAACACACTGAATAAAGAAGCTGATTGGTTGCCATGCACAGCTGCTCCAGATTTTTTGTGCCCCAATTTTTGTGAATTCCCCTCCACTGTTGTTTTTGTCTATTTTAATGTTTATATTTAACAGTCTGTTTTATCAGGCTTTTGAAGTTCTACTGATGTGTTCTGTATGAGAAGTTCCATTCATTGGTCAAGTTCACCTTCTGTCTATACCAGGGGTAAGCAACCTCCTCACCCCAGCTGTTGTAAAACTACCTAAAAGTCCCATGAGGCATTGCAAGACTGACAGCCACAGGTATGACTCGCAGAGGCATTTGGGATTTGTATTTGCACCACAGCTGGGGTACCAACATTGCCTACCCCTGGTCCAGACTATGGTCCAGCTAGTTGGAGTCCATAGCTTTCTCTATCTCCAAGCCCTAATGAAGACGGTGATTTATGGCCTCAGAAATGCGTCGGCTCATTGATCTTATATTGTTCTCTATTTGTATCTGGATCATTAATTCTCAGCGTGTCTCTTCAGTCTCTATAAATACCGGCCGTGTGTTCACATGAGAACCGACAGACTGCCAACATTCTTCTCTCACGCAGCGCCGGTGATATTAACTTTGAAGATGGATTTCTCTGCAATGCTCATAGACACAGAGATGAGTGAGGACTTGTTATAAAGCGCTCATACTGTTTGTTCAGAATATGTACTATAATCATTGTTTGTTCAGCCAACGCATCTACAGTACCGATGTGTCGCCTCCGAAACTTTCTGATTGTGATTGTCTCCTTGTTTGTTTGTCCGCCACGGAGTTAGTTGCGGCAGCTTTTTGGTGAAGAATGGCGGCTGCGGGGCATATTACTGCCTGAGAATAATATTATTCCATGTGATTATACAGATAAGAGATCCCTATGAGGGTCACATTTATATTATGTGTCCTGTAAACACTTTACCCCCCTCGGTCACATGATGATCAACACGACTCATATTCTTCCCAAAGTTGGGAGGGGGACACTGTCCAAAAATCCATTCCATTACCTGAGAACGCATTTCGAGTTTTTATTTTTGAATGTTGTTTTTGATTTGATTTACAGGTTGATTGATTCTCGTGGTGTATGTAGGCCAGACAGCGTAGTCAGTACCCTGGCTGAACCACCGCTGATATATTGTACCCTCGTTATTGATCTGACGTGTGTACCTAAATGCCAATGTTTTAGGAATGGTGATGTAGCAGTCATGTGACCACTCCAGTCCCATTCTTCTCCTTCCTGCTGGGCAAACAGCAGTGACAATGCAGGGACTACATGTCCCAGAAGTCTGTGCGGTTCAAGTTGCTGTGGTCATGGCGGTTTTTGTATTTGGGCCAATAGTGAGGAGATAGTACTGAGAAATACAGGGACAAAGATAAATGTGACGCAGGAAATGGCTGCTGAGCGTCATACAGCCAAAGTTCCTGCTGGAAGAGAGTACACAATGGTGCCGGACATGAAGAACTTGTGCAGGGTGGTTGATCTTGTCTCCGCCCCCTCCTGTACTAAAGACCGTTCACTGCTGCTCTCTCTCCTTGTGCAGGGTGACTGGACTTGTCTCCGCCCCCTCCTGTAATAAAGACCGCTCACTGCTGCTCTCACTCCTTGTGCAGGGTGACTGGTCTTGTCTGCGCCCAGTTCTGCTTTAATACCCAAATATGGCTGCACATGTACATACTGTATATCTTAGAGATGTGTCGGGGGTAGGCAACCACAGTACGCCAGCTGTTGTGGAACTACAAGTCCCATGAGGCATTGCAAGACTCTGACAGCCAGAGGCATGATAGGATTTGTAGCCTCACCACATCCGGAGTGCCGAGGTTGCCTACCCCCATCCTAGACTGAACCTCACGTCACTGGATCTGTCTTGCAGGTCTCCGGAGGTAAGGAAACCCTCGCACTGCCCGGACACACCCGAGGCCAGCTTTGTAGTTTTAAGCGGAGTTCTGTTGTAAACTTCCCTTTTCTTGTATCAGCGCCAGCTCCGTGTACAATCTTCCGGTCATAAATCTCCCGTGTAACGTTATCTGTCACGTTTTATTATCCGTGTGTATCATTGGTCATAGCTGTACGTCTTCAATGCATTAGAATGGTTCACCGACGTCACTGTTCTGTGTACAACCTGAGAACCAAATAAAATCAATATTCTGATCGGATTTCTGGTCTCCTAATTCTCAGCCAAACTCCAAAGATCCAAAACCGAACTCCGGGATCAGCAACTATTGTCCCCATACAAGAGTCGTGTGTGTTCTTCTTGTATCTTGGTGAGCTTTGTGTATTTCTTCCAGATCTGTGCAGTAATCCAGTGTGAGACCGCTCAACTTTAAAGAGGAACTAAACTCTGGAAGTTTTGCACAGTAAAAAATAAAAGGCAGATATCGGGCAGAGGACTAGCAGCGGCGGCAGTATTGTCTCTTGTCTCACTGCAGCTGATGTTACGTGGTGACTTGCCATGCCTTGCTCTTCACCATGTCTCTGTGTGCAGGAGGCCATCTTGGTAGAGGCAGGGCTTTGCTACCAGCAAGGAGAACGGTGAGCAGCACAGCAGCACTTCAATTCTCCTGAGATGAGCGGACAGAGGCAGCAGTGCCTGAGGTCGCACACTGCAGATATACAGCTATGAGGCTACAGAACAGGAGTGTCTGGGCACCTCACCTACCAGGAAGTATTAGTATTCAAGACAGAAGATCAATGTTCACGGGTACGGCTTAGGCACAGTTAATAGTTCTGAATGTTCCCAATCTTCACGTTTTGAGTTTAGCTCCACTTTCAAACCCAACTCCGGGTACAAGAAAAAGAAAAAAAAACTACCCTTGCAATGGGGTCGCCCTCTCTGTAAGGGTTCAAAGGTTAAGTCTAGGGGGAGAGGGATAGGGAGTAAGGGCCTGTTCACATGACGTCCGTTTTGTGTGCTGACCGGCTCCGTACGCTGCTGCACACAAAATGCATCCCAATGTATCCCTGTGTGTTTTATGGGCTACAGTTCTCACGTGCGCAGTCCGTTCAGCTTACGACAGAAAAAATACTGCATGTCACATTTTGTCCGGTCCGGAAACGCATGAACGCGCATAAAACGCAACGGAAACGCAACGCAATGCAGCTAAGGGGGAAAAAAGAAAGAATTGTATTCTTGCTCCACTTATTATGATGTCATCAACGTTGAAAAAAAATTAACTGTCAGCATCCGGACCAAAAACGCGTCAAAAACACACTGCATCAGCAGCTCCACGTCTGCTGATCAGGACCTGATCTCATGTGAACAGGCCCTAATACCTTACCTTACTCCTCGCGCCAGCAGGCTCCCTCCATCTGTACCACCGGTCCCTGGCCGTGGTTGCATGCCCGCCTCCTCCATATACAATATTGGGCATTAGCCTTAGCATTGTACATGCTGACGGCAAACGACCGCCCACAGCCCAAAGTGTCAGGCCTCGTTCACACCAGACTAGGTGCGTTCCGGCCCAATTCTGTCCGGAGCGCACTGCATCGCATTGCGGCCAGCTCACTATATGTTGTGGGGCAGGAGAGTGCTTGCAGCATTTTGTTTGGACCGGACCGCAGGCACTAATGTGCCTTGCGTTACCGTGCAGCCGATCCCATTACGGCCGGAGGGCGTGGCTATGGTGCCCCCCTCCTGCCCCACAGCATAGTAAGCCAGCCGCAGTGCGTTGCAGCCAGCATCGGGCCGGAATGCAATGTCGGGTGTGAACGAGGCCTCAAGGAGAAGAGAAGAGCACCGGGGTACTGTTCTGGCCTGACAACACATATCACTTTTGTGGACAGACAGGTGTCAGCCCTGCTCAGTAGTGTTTGCTAAACTACTCAACCGCTCCCACTATCCGATCTCTACGACATAAAGGTTATTCGTTCTGTATTCAAAGATGAGAACATGGGAGGGCTAAATAGACCCTTTGAGTTAATAAAAATCCTGGCGGGATCAACAGGTTTTTGGGGGGGTTTGTTGCACAAACTGATGAAAGAAAATGCTGCCAAATGTATATATTTAACAGGCCAAAGAAGAGAAGTTCATTGTTGGGGGTTTATAAACACTTTCGGGTGTTTGAGTGCGAGTGCCGATGACGTAGGACGCTGACGTAGGACGCAGCGCGACCACACGCCCAGCGACGGAAACGCGAAGTGGAAGCCACGGACGGGCCGCTCCTCCACGCTCCATACCCGTCTCCACACCCGGCAGTTTTTTTTGGGACTCTGACCCCGCCGATGGGGGGAAACAGAAAGAAGCAGCAGTAGCAGCCGTCACCCACAGCTCAGACGAGCCGGACATCCACGACAAGAATCGGGGCATTCTTCACAGGTACAGGGACCCGGTCGAGGTTGTCACTGGGGGAGGGGGGTAGGATGGCAGCACCCGCCTCTCCGGTGGTGAATGACCGAGACCGGGATTCCCTTATACAAGGAACTGCTAAACAAGTGAAACCTGTATTGTCTGCTCGCTCTCAGGCTGGAGGGTCCCCCAAAGTAATACTAGAGTCACAAAGAAGTATAGGGCAGTACCCACATAGCCCAAAGACCACACAATTATTAGAAGGGGAGCAACAAGACATAAGGGATTGCCTAAGGATGCTACCAAACAAGGAGGATATGGAAAGATATATAGCAAGACTGGAAGCAACATACAAAGAAGAGCTGCAGACAGTGAAAGCGGATATTGCTAATATTGGGGATCGGGTAAATGGAGTGGAGGAAAGTATGGAGGCCTGTTCTTCCAGAATAGATATGCATCAGGAAGCTATCGATAAACACTCAAAACAGATCCAGGACATGATATATAAGATGGCCGATATCGAGAACAGGAGTAGACGTAATAATTTACGGCTACGGGGCATCCCGGAAACTATAGAGATACAAAATCTTATACCAACAGTAAAAGCTATACTAAATGTTATACTGGATAAAACCCCAGAAACTACACTAACACTAGATGGCTTGTATAGAGTTCCTGGATTTCTTAAAGGAGAACCCACAAGGCCACGAGATGTAATATGCCGATTGCATCACTACACAGATAAAGAAGCTATCATTATGGCAGCTAGAATGAAGAAATACGTAAAACACGATGGATACGATGTGACTATCTTCCCAGACCTCTCGAGACAAACGCTAACGCTCAGAAGGACCCTGAGGCCAATATTGGAAATCTTACAGGAGAGAGGGATACGATATAGATGGGGGTTCCCCTTTCAGTTAGTAGCCCACAGAGACGGAAGAACAGCTAAATTCAGGACATTAGAGGACATGCCAGCTTTCTCGGATATCTTAGGGCTACCCCCGATACAACTGCCAGAGTGGCCAACTGAACTAAGCAAGATAAATGGCCCCCAAGGGAAAGAGTGGTCAGTAGTTTAAGACCAAGGATTAAACAGGAAGCAAAACAAAGCACAAGATCTAAACGATAGACCTCTGTTTAATTGAAGAAAATGGACATATATATGGGTCTGTGGGTCCTGGTTTCCCATAGAGTGAAAATGAAGGGAGGAAAGAGGTCAGGAGTGGGTAAGAGAAAGGGGAAAATGGTGGTGAGAATGATTGGTTATCTGGACTACTATGTGTATAGGTCTAATGGAAAATGTACCATGAGGGACAGACAATTAAGTAATGAATAAGTTATCACTAGTCTCATATAATGTTAAAGGATTTAATATATCTGAGAAACGCTCACAGATCTTATATCACTGTCATAAGAAAAGAATGGATATATTATGCCTACAGGAAACTCATTTTAAGAAGGGGAATATTCCAACTATAAGAAATAAATACTATTGGAAATGGTACCACAGTACAGACCCAAAAAAAAAGCAAGGGGGGTATCGGTGGCAATACACAAAAATGCACAAATTAATGTAATTGACACAGAAGGAGATGAAAAGGGAAGATATGTGTTTATAAAATTTTACTATTTAAATCAAATGTTTTCACTGGCGAATATTTATGCCCCTAATAAGGGACAATATACGTTTTGTACGCAGATATTAAATAGGTTTAAAAAATTTGGTATGGGAACTAATTTGGTGATGGGAGACATGAACTTAATTTTTGATACTAGGTTAGACACAACGGGGAAGCATGTCCCTTCAGGAGATGCGTTAAAAAGATTAAAGATTAAAATGGAACACATGGGGTTAATAGATGGATGGCGCGTTTTACACCCCACAGAAAGAGAATACACATATTATTCTTCGGTACACAAGACATATAGTCGTATAGATCACATATGGATGCACCAGCGGATGTTGGAACATAAACCAGAGATTGAAGTGGGACCGATACTGTGGTCTGACCATGCACCAGTGTCCCTTAGATTAGAAATAGAGAACAGAAGCAGAAGTATGGGATCATGGAGACTTAATGATAATCTTTTGAAAGATATAGACTGTCAAAAAGAAGTAATAGACACAATAAACTATTTTATAAAAGATCATCAAAATGACAATACATCATATCCAATCCAATGGGAGACCTTAAAATGTGTAGTGAGAGGTATTTTAATTAAACATGGTTCTAGACTAAAAAAAGAGAGGGCCAGGAAGTTGAAAGAACTATTCCAGAAATTGTATGTTTTAGAGGCCCTAGACAAGGATAAAACGACACCAAAAAATGTTAAGCAATTAAAAGAACGTAGAAGAGAAATACGCAATATATTGGATCAACAAACATTAATTGCCAGAGATGGACATAAAAATCAATATTATAAAGAAGGAGATAAGTGTGGGAAGTTACTAGCGAGGAAAATACACCCAAGGGCCCCAAAAACCAATATAATAAGAATTAAAGATAAAGATGGGAAAATCCAATACTCTCCGTCCTCAATAGCAGAAACATTCGGAAAATCTTATGCATCATTATACTCGATACGAGGTAAATATGCAGATATGCCATCAGATAACTTTGTAAATAAAATAAAAGAATATATAAAAGAAGCTAATGTACCTGAACTAGATGTTGAGGACGGAGAAAGATTGAATTCGATAATTACAGAAAAAGAACTAAAAGAGGTATTCTCATCATTGAAGGTCAACAAAGCTCCAGGGCCAGATGGATATACAGCTCGCTTCTACAAACAATTTGAGGAGCAATTAAGACCCTTTTTGATGAAAGTATGCAACTCAGTTACAGAAGCCTGTCCCTTCCCCACCCAGACAATGGAAGCCCACATTTCTGTACTCCCAAAACTGGGGAAAGATCTGACAGAATGCGGGCACTATCGTCCAATATCCCTCATGAATATTGATTTGAAGATATATGCAAAGGTATTGGCTGTTAGATTAAAAAATGTCTTGCCAAAAATCATACACTTGGACCAAACCGGTTTTGTGCAAGGACGGGAATCTAGACATAGCACCACTAAGGTTATCAACTTAATAGCACTTGCACAAAGGGAAAAAAAACATCTTTGTCTTCTGTCAGTAGATGCCGAAAAGGCATTTGACAGAGTAAACTGGTATTTTCTTAGAGAATCTCTCCTACATATGGGATTGGGAGAGTACTTTGTATCTAAGGTGATGGCACTATATACATCCCCTACAGCCAAGGTAAGGGTGAACGGGACTCTATCGAATTCTTTTCCCATATTTAATGGTACACGTCAAGGTTGCCCTCTATCACCGCTGCTATATGTAGTGGTGATGGAGCAATTAGCAGCAACGATCAGAAAAAATCCCTCGATTAAAGGTATGACCCATACAACACAACAATATAAACTGGCATTATATGCAGATGATATGCTCCTCTTTATAACCTCTCCATTAATATCAATTCCTAATATACTTAAAGAACTGAAGGTATATGGGGATTTGAGTAACTTTCATGTAAATATATCGAAGTCACGATTTTTGAATATCTCCCTATTGGATAATGTTCAAGTCTGTATTAAGGAAAGCTACCCATTTAGATGGGAGCCAGAATATATCGTATATCTGGGCATTAATATACCTAAGGACCTTAACACCCTCTATGCCATTAATTTTGGGGATTGGCTAGATAAAATTTGCTCCCAACTCTCTACTTGGAACTGTCTACGCCTGTCATGGATGGGCAGGATAAATGTCCTAAAAATGGACATACTCCCCAAAATTATGGGGAGTTATGGATGGAAGCAATACAGGTTTCAGATTATGTGAGATACCTCAGGGCAAGTAACTCCCTGAACAGATCTTTTACACCGTTTGAGAAATTATGTGTACGAGATATGTCTATAGCACATGCTGTATCGGTGCTTTATGGTATTCTGGGGGAGGAGGATGCCAAAGGTCACACGAAATACATGAAGAGGTGGGAACAAGACCTGAGGAAA